ATTTAAGTGAGTTTAAGACAAAGCTTGATAAGTACATGAATGATAAGGGCTGGCTTTAAGATTTTTTTTTACAATTATTTTAATTTAGTTTAGAGGATGGAACAGCCGATATGGTTCAATAGGTTCCGTGTTGTCCCAAAACATTATGTTATGTTATATCAGTCATTGTAGAACACAAGGAATTATGAATGAAGTGTAAAGGAATATTATTTTAACTAAACTTAAGAAAAAATATTTTTTAAAGATTTCATGCTTCATTTTATAAAACCTTATAATGCATTAAAATCAACCTTCAAAAGTTTACAAAATAACGAACATTTTAACCACAGAAAATTGTTTTCTTTTATAAAATAATATAAAGTACAACATTTTTCTCATCAATTTTTGTATAACATAAGAAGGCAACAATCACCATATGGATTCTTTGCAAGAGTTGCCCTCTCTGTTTCTAGAGGATCTGATTCTCCTTCTTCATTCAAAGCTTTCACTCGGAATTTGTACTTTTTCCCAGGATCAAGCCCATTGACTGTCATTTCTGGTTTATCTTTTCTAGCCTTGCCAACAGGGACCCAACGGCCAGTAGAAGTGTCCATCTTTTCAACTACGTAACCTTCTAGAGGTAAACCACCATCATCCTTTGGCTTATTCCATTTCAACTTACAGCCTTCAGCATAAACATCTGATACCTCTAGAGGTCCTTCTGGAACTGATGGTTTGTCTAACATAAAAACATTTGAACTTTAACCAACATAAACAAGAATCTAAAGGCTTGTAGAAACAAAACTGATAGAAGATGGTAAAAGGGATGATTAAATATGATTTATGAATTAAACAGTGTTTCTTAAACCCCTCTTGATGATAAATTAAATAACTGTCAGGAACTCTATAATAATCAATAAATTACCATGAGAGATCTCAAGCTATTTTCCAACCAGATTGAAATAAAGAATTATATTATTCATCTTCGTGCACAGGTACTTACAATGCAATGGACAGGCACTGTAAAGGCACACAATATATGTCTTTTTATTTTATTAAGCTATTTACCAATAGGCATGTTATTTTAAATGAAAGATAAAAGAAATGTAATATTACATAAATAATAAAAACTTGCCTAAAACAATAATTTCAATCTCCTCTTCATCTTTTCCAGAACTGTTGACTGCAGCAATTTTGTATTTTCCAGTATCTTTACGGACTAAGTTACTTAAACGCAGATGGGTTTTGTACTCTTCATTTTCTACCTTAACCTTATCACTTGGCAGAAGTTCTTTTCCCTGGAAAGACCAAGTTAATTTTGGAGGAGGTTCTCCAATAACTTCAACATCTAGCTTGGCCAGCTGACCAGCTCGTACTGTTATTGGTTCCAGATTGTCTCGAATAATCTTTGGAGCCACTGAAATAGTGACAAATTTACACATAATTATACACAAAACTGTTTTAAAAACAATACTACACTTGAACAATTGACAAAATATATTATTCTTTAATTCACTAGATATTCCAAATATAAAGTCTTTAATGTGTTTCAATACAAAATATTCCATAGTTTTGTTAGACTAAAACTTACTGTTATCTTTAAACAATGTGCAGTCCAACCATTTTACTGTATGTGTTACTCAACGTTTGTGTTCTACTTCAGAAGCCAGGTCTATTTATCTACTTGTCTGCCTACCCAAGAATTTACAGCTCTTATATGTATAAACCTGTACGTTTTTAAGTAATTATTCAGTCCTTTTGCAAAGAACAAGAGTATTATTTGTTCCAAGCCATTTTTGAAAAGTGGCTTGTCATTTGTTCTGATTGCATAACACAACAGCTAATAAGTCTACATAACACATAACATTTCAACAAAAATTGAGCGTCTTCTATTCATAGGTACACTAGGAAATACCAATGGTCAGTTACAGGTGATATATAAATTATTTATGTAATAATATGTTGGTTCCTCTTACACCGAGTAGCCTAAACTCATTCAGACTAGTTTAGTTTCACTAAGTAAACATAACATATTTATGAGACAGTTATTGATATTTATTGATTTTATTGTGTGATAGAACAGTTTAATTTCAAACTGCATAAAATTTGTTAATAGAGCAAATTTACCTGCAATACAAGTATAGCATATAAGTTACAGTCATATGTAATAACAAAATGTACAGAATTATACAAGTAAGAATTACGGATGTGAACTTTGGACATATTTTTAAGTAAGAAACAACCATCATAACTTGGGTATTGAACTTGGCTTCTGGACTATTAGGTTTAATTGCAGAATACAAGAAACCTTTTTTAAACACAAAGTAACTTTTAATTTAGTCATTTCCAGTATAAAACACACTTCAAAAAAATAAAAATAACACAAAGGGAAGATCCATTTATTACTAAGCAGCTTTAGGTCCATTTGCAGAGCACGTAATGTAGGAGTTACAATGTATGATATACAAACACATATTTAAAGAGATGTTGCATAAATGTGCTTTTATAAGTGTATGTAGACTTTACTATAAACTTAGTTACTCTATGACACATGTAATCCCCCAGGTCCTATACAATTCTTATGAAGTGTGCCACTTTAACTGTATCTTAGAAATCTGTTCTATGATTAACATTTATAATTCTCTATTTTATTTATTACCACTAGTGTCAATAATTATCTCCAATAAACGTATCATTATATAAATTTTTCTGTCTCCTTAAAATCTTCTTCCCCTGATACAACCAACAATTTGTTCATGTATTTAGAATAACACTTAACAAATCCAATACAGAGTGTTTCATAAGTGATAAATTTGTCACTTACAATATCTAGGCTTAGCAGTGTGAATTCCTGTTGGCTCACTGGGTTGTCCTGCTCCTGCTTTGTTCACAGCTCGAACACGGAATTGATACTTCTGATCTTTAATTAAGTCTGGTACTGTAGCTTCTGGTTTTGAGCTCTTTGTTTCTAGGCAGGGTTCCCAATCTGTGGATAAATATTCTTTTTTTTCTATAACATATCCAGTTATAGGAGCTCCTCCATCTTTTTTTGGTGGTTCCCACTTGAGATCAACTTTGTTCTCATCCCAGTCAACAATTTCAGGTGTTCCTGGTGCTTCAGGCTCATCTATTTTAAAAAGTTATAAAATAAAAACAACTAAATTCAGAGAATACATTGAGCAATGTTAATTATTAATGGAAAATAGCAAGTTCAAATAAGATTTAGTTATAAACATGTCTAACAAAAGCAAAGGAACACTAATCTTGAAAAGGAAAGATTATTATTTAAAATTAAATATGATTTTAAATAATAATAAAAAAGCTTGTAAAATTAGTAAAAGATCTAACTATTATGCTAGGTACAAAGCTGTAAAAATTATCTGTTACAATTTAAACAAAGTCATGTTTTATTGAAAGGCATTTATAGGAAGTACAAGCCTATTGGATATCATACAGGTACATACAGATATAATGTATGATTACTGAAATTCCCCTGGAAAACTAATAATATCTAAATATATTGACAAGAGTTTAAGATAGCACTAAAGTTTTTAGTAACAAGTGTAGAAGTTTAAATTTGTTTTTGTTTGAATTACAGATATAAAAAACTTTCTTCCTTGTGAGTTTATAAGTCAAATAACTATAAAATATAAGTCAATCAGTTTCTAAGAAACGAATCATATTTAGATTTCAATGGTGATTTATACGATCAGATAAATGGGGGTCTTCATGAAATTATGGCCAAGGAGTGTATTATTAGTTACCATGAAAAACAGAACTCAACAGAATGTTCAAACAAGTTTAAGTTATTTTTGTTCTTACAGAAAAACAAAAGTGATTCTTCATATTGTAGCAACAGTAAGTATTCAAACATTAATTTTACATCAACATAAGACTGCCTTTTTAAAATGCAATGGTTAGTATCGAGTTAGTTGAGTTTGAGCTAAATTTAAAGACTCTATGTTAGAGAGTCAGATGATACACTACATACATATTAGAGTTACTTTGAATTACTTTAAACTTAACCTTATATAAGTTTTCAGTTGAATTCATATAAAATGTATTTAGTTAGCATGCAAATATTACATACATTTCTCTGCTATAGTATATATCTTATATATCTATAATTTCCATTTTTTTTAAAGTTATGATTCAGAATAGCCTGGTTGAAATCATGTGTTAAATTCAGCCTGAGGTGTTACTTTTTGTAAAGAGACTAGTTAAGGGACGTACATGCTGTTCTATGAGATACTTGTATTGTAACATGCTTGATAATAACAATGGAAGATACAGGGTGATTTTCACATAATACATAGTTACCTTAACATTCCAGTGTCCCTTTCTGAGAGTAAGAAATCGCTGTAAAGCCGTGATGGTGCTTATTCTGTACAATCAGTGGTAACTGTGTATTGTTTAACTCCACTGTACAATCAGTGGTAACTGTGTATTGTTTAACTCCACTGTACAATCAGTGGTAACTGTGTATTGTTTAACTCCACATATGCA